TTTCGTTTTGTTGTATGCTAGAATTAGGGTTACAAGCTTTGGATGATTCGCATGTAGAATTAGAGAAACCTAGATCCAAAGCTTTAGGGTTTGCATGTGCACCATAGGATTGGCGTAATGCTCATAACCCATCGTTTGGGTTAATGACCTATGAAGGTAATAAGGTTTTAACTTTGTCTACATTAAGTCCTTAAGGTTTTTTTGTACATATTACACAGATATGGTTGTTATAACCATTTAAAAAGGTAATAAGGTTTTAATTTTGTCCACATTAGGTCCATAATGTCTTTTTTTGTACATATTACACCAACATGGTTGTTATAACCGTTTAAAGAGGGATAATAAGGTTTTAATTTTGTCCATATTAAGCCCCTATTTTTAATATTTTTATCATTTCATCTAACTCTTTTACAATTTATATTAGTATATAGTTAGATGGCTTCATCATTTCATCTTCTCATTTTAGTCGCCCATTCACCACAACCATAGTTTCAATTGAAATGTTACATAACAATTTTTTGTCATTTTTACAAAAGAAAATACTAATAATAATCAAAGTCTTAATGATTAAGCTATGTTTGGTGCGTCACAGCTAGTTGATAAGCTAGTTTATTTTTCGTTTTTTTTAAGTTGTCATGTTTGGAAAGCCAAAAAGTAACTTATAAGCTAGCATTTTAAAAAGCTACTTAGACACGTTTTTTAAAAGTTTGTTTTTTTTTTAATTTCCAAATATATCTCTCAATTAATTAAGAAAACATATTTTTTAAATGCCCTTTTATGTCATTATATAAATTTCAAATAAATAATGGCGTATCGGGGATACCTCATTGGTGGAGCCATTACTTATCGGGGATACTCTTTTACTTTGACAATGACTTCGCCATTGGCTTATAAACTATATGAAATTTATATAATGACATAAAATGGCATTTAAAAAAATATGTTTTCTTAATTAATTAAGAGATATATTTGGAACTTAAAAAAAAACTTTTAAAAAACTTGTCTAAGTAGCTTTTTAAAACGCTAGCTTATAAGCTATTTTTTGGCTTTCCAAACATGACAACTTAAAAAAAATCGAAAAATAAACTAGCATATCAGCTAGTTGTGGCGCACCAAACATATCATAATCATTAAGACTTTGATTAATAATAATAATAATAATAATAATAATAATAATATTATTATTATTATTATTATTATTATTATTATTATTATTATTATTATTTTATTTTTTTTGTAAAAATGACAAAAAATTGTTATGTAACATTTTAATTGAAACCGTGGTTGTGGTGAATGGACGACTAAAATGGGAAGATGAAATGATAAAATCATCTAACTAGATACTAATATAAATTATAAACGAGTTAGATGGAATAATAAAAATATTAAAAATAAAGACCTAATGTCGACAAAATTAAAACTTTATTACAATTCTTTAAATGGTTATAACAATCATGTTGGTGTAGTATTTACAAAAAAGACCTTAGATACCTAATGTAGACATAATTAAAACCTTATTACATTTTTTAAACGGTTATAACAATCATGTTGGTGTAATATGTAAAAAAAAACCTTAAGGACCTAATGTGAACAAAGTTAAAACCTTATTATCCTCTTAAGTCATTAACCCCATGGGTTTTATGCTTATTTTCAATTTTTTGTTTTGCTCACCTCTAAGGCCATCTTTTATACCCACCACATACCATATATGTGGTAGGTGTCACATCAGCACCACATTCCCCTACCACTAACATAAGATAACTACCACTAACATACCACTCCACATCATTATTTTTATTTTTATTTTTAATTCAAAAATACAATAAAATTACATTTTTAATAATTGAAAAATATTCATTTTTTAACTAGTTTTTTATTAATTATAAAAATAAAATTACAACTTCAAACTACATTACTTAATTAATCTAGAAATAAAAAAAACATTACATTAATTAAAAAAAACAAACAAACATACATATAAAAAAAATTAATCTTCGTTCATGTTACGTTGGTATAAATATTCCGCGACATCTTCTCGAAGATTGAAACACGTTTCACTATTATGAATTTCAACAACTCGCTCTAAAAACTCATTCGTTCCCGGTACAAACTCCTCAATTGGAATGACAACGTCGTTCGGATCATACGTGCAAATCGCTTGACTTTCATCTTCAATAATCATATTATGCATTATAATAAATGCTATGACCATTCGTAATTCTTTCTTTATCCCAGAGTCGTCGTGTGTAGCTATTTCAATATGCCATGTATGCAGGACTTCTGCTCCACCAAATGCTCCTCCTCGATATCTTTTTCGCCGGTTCGCGCCTTCCTGTTTTTTTGTAAAACAACTTTTGCCTTTTCACTTCGAGGAACCGAGTATGCCTTCATCAATGTAGAATAATCCGGGTATATCCCATCACCAAGGTAGTAACCGTATTTGTACGCGTGCTCGTTAACCGTGAACGTCATATCAGGTGCTTTGTCGATCCAAATATCGTTGAAAAGAGGAGACTGACCAAGAACATTAATGTCTTTGTTAGACCCCGCTGCTCCGAAAAAGGCATGCCATATTCACGAATTTTGAGATGCAACAACTTCTAGGATGATAGTTGGTTCACCTATATCTCCTCCAGTGAACTGACCACACCATGCATTTGGACATTTTTCCCAAGCCACATGCATATAATCTAGATTGCCAAGCATACCCGGAAATCCATGCCTCTCTTCGTGAGCTGAATATAATCTCTCAATATCACGCTGAGTAGGTTTGCATAAATATTGTTTGTGAAAAACCTCATACACACATGCAGAAAACCAATCTACATATTCAACTGCGGTCCTGTCGGATACTTTCAAATATTCGTCAGATGCATCAAATATTATACCGTATCCCAAATACCTAAGAGCAGCCGCACATTTTGTATACTACTAAAACTCATTCTTCCTCTAGCGTCGGGTTTTTGTTTGAAAAAAACCATAATGAGATTCTAAAGCATTACTAATACGTAAAAATATAACCTTATTCAGACGGAAACAACGTTCGAACGAGTCGTCATTATAAAGACAATTATCGACAAAGTAATCACGTACCACTAAGTCGAGTGCGGCTTGACGATCACGATTGACGACCGCCCTTGTACGAGCAACATTTGAATTTTCTTCGTCTTGAATGTGTTGCACAACGTTGAAGAATGTCTCGACGAATTCTACGTCGTCATCGGAGTCAAAAGTTTTTAAGAACTCAATGTGTTTTGTGGAATCCATGTGCACGTGTTTTGTGGTTTTAGAGAATGAAGGTTAGAGAATGAATATGTAAGTTTTGGTGAAAATAGAAGGTTTTATTTATATGTATTGAATTGAGTTCGAAAAAAAAGGCCAAATGGCCGTTCAACGGTCGAGAAAGCAATCCACCAATCAAGTTTCACGTTTAGAATCGTCGTTGGCAACACGATGCACAACGACCACGCCCGGCCACGATTTGTCGGGGTGGTGCACACGAATTTTTCTCGTGGCCACATGGACCACGGATGCTCTCGTTGAGAGTATACCGTATGGTCTAAATTCAAATGCATAGTCTCTATAAAAAAATATATAGATTTTTTATTTTTGTTAACCACCGTCTATTTATTTGTAAAGTCAATATAGTATACCCGATATATTGAAAGTTTTTGTGTTGCCTGTAGTTCGGAGTTCTGGCTGTCTTTAAAAAAAGGTGTCCGTTTAAAAACTATAAGGTTGTCCAACAAAAAACTGTAATATAATCTATAATTTTCTTTTTCAAAACTCTCATATATGCGACAATTGTTTTTTTTCCTATAATTTATTAAACTCTATAAGTTCAAAATACATATTTAGAAAAGACATCATTTATTAAATTTTCTATTTTCTCATTCAATAACTAATAATCTCAATATCTATTTGAAAGCCAATATTCTAGAGTTTAATCTATTCAATATCAATTAAAAAAATCACCTCAAATTATGCGTTGTGGATGATCTTCAGCAGTGGCGTAGCCATAATTTTGTTTTATGGTAGATCAAATAATTTACAGAATATGAACTAATAGAAAAATACATCATATGATAACAAAATTTGACAATGTATGCATTTTAAAGTAAATTGTTCATTTAAGTTGCACACGCCGCTCTCTTACATTATTAAAATCATCTAAAATGGAATCTAAACCGATGATACTTGATTATTCATTTCTTGATTATCCATTTCTGTTGTAGCTTTCTCTTCGCCTCGTGGTAAAACATTACGCGTAAAAAACGAATCTAATCTTTTTTGCTTTGGCCCCATTGCTCAACGAATTCACTAAGCACAAACAATTTCAATTACAAACACACTCTTATATTTTTATACAATTACAGCCTTACAATAACACAAATAATTAATTCATAGTAATATGTAATAACCTAATTTATTAAAAATTTATGATAAAAATATAAAATCTATAATGAAAATAAAAACAATAATGAAGTAATTGAGTAAGTATGATAACAGAAAAAAAAAATTAACTAACCTGAATGTTGGTGACGATTAATGAATATCAGTTAATAAATTAATGAATATCAGTTAATAAATTAAATAACAAATAGCAATCATCTTTAACTTTAAAAGAACTTCAAAAGTGCTTCTTTAATTTGAGAAACATATAAGCGTGCAGCAGAGCAGCGTGAGAATATGCTGGAGACAAACAATTTCAATTAAATTTAGGATGTGCCATTTACCAAGCCCAATACTTCTTTTTAATATATAAAAAAACATATACATAGATTATATATAAACAAATATGTGTGGGTGGGCCTTGTCTCCACATGGCTTCGCCCCTGATCTTCAGGTTAATTTTTTTACGCCAAGCAACGGTAAATCATATTTTTCGTTTGTATTATAACATATCAAAATTGACATAGAACGAAGTACATGAATGGTGTAGAAACAGAAAAGACAAGGATTTTGACTAAACATCGGGTGTATATCAAGAATGAATGCCATCAATTTGGTGCTCTCTCGTTAAGTATTTTCACTCCAATGTATCGGCCTAACATCATAAGTGTTGCCTGTGGATTTGTTCCCGGTGAGCTGGAAAATATGGAAGCATCAATGACTCGTAAAGAATCAACTCCTATGACTTTCAAATCACTATCAACCACCTTTTCTACCAAGCATCCACCATGGAAATGCCAAAATGTGGACAATGTTTCGCGACAGAATGCCTCGTTAGACTTCAAACGAGATGGATCCTCAGGTAATGATGGCCCGATATATCTGAAATCCCTTGCACCAGATGTGTCACTAAACTTGTATTCTTCCATGGCTTGAGTACCCAAAAAATTTCGAAGTACTTCCACAACCTTACCACATTCTATTATATCATTCGTGTGTGAGTAGTAATTAAAACGAACACTTGGGCTAACGTTTACATCAGAGGGCGATATTAATTGTAGTGAACCACTTGACTTTGGTCCTGTAATCTTTCCACCAATAACCAGCACACTTAAGTTTAAAGGTATAAGTGAACCCAAGAAAGGCACCTGTCGGGGGGCTGCAGAAGATTCGATGTATGGACCATTTTTTACTATCCCAACAACTCGTGCTCCTACATCAAGCGATGCCACTGGGACCAAAAGGTTAATTCCAGGACGCGGATTATCAACCATGAACTTTCCAATATACGGATGGTCGCGAACAACTGGAATTTTTAGGGACGAAAGGTATGAAAGTGGCCCGAGTCCACTTATCAGCAAAAGTTGTGGGCTTCCCAGAGCTCCAGCGCTCAAAATTACTTCTCCCGGTTTTCTTACATGGACTTCATGATAAATTCCTTCTGAATCATGGTATCTAACGCCACTGGCAGCTATTCCTGAAAGAAATGAACAAATTCAAAGTGGTAAAAAATATAACTAATAAAATTTTCTAGACCGATCGAGCTAGAGTAGAGAAGGACATGAATGTATCATTTAAAGTCGATTCTTCTACCAAGTTTAAAAGTGGGGCATAAATTGTAAGAAAAACTATATATTTTTTTATATATATTAAACACCTATACCATAGTTAATTAATTTCCTATAGTACTCAATATGTAAAGTGGAACCTAAAGAACTGTTACCTAAAGATTCGGAGGTGGAGAAGATGACCCGATCAACTGTGGCATGGACAACGACCTTTAAATTTCCAGGTTTGGCTTTATTAAGGAGCTCCACTGCCCCATGGCGCCTCCCTGAATCATCAAATGTGGAACCACTAACCTTGGTACCTTCAACATGGTCCAGGGTGAACCCATTTGCCGGATCAACTCCTGATTCTAATAAAGCATTCAACATAGAAGTTTGCCACCTACCTAAATGATCCGGACGTGTTACAATACTATCTTCTACCCACTCATAGGCACTTTTGACACCACTGCTATTCCATTCAATCCCTGAATTCTTATAAAAGTAATCATCAGCCCTCGAATAAAATCCAAAATTTATCATGCTACTACCTCCTAAAACCCTCCCTCTTGCGTTTGGTACCCCTTCTTCAGAGGTGAAAGTTTGAGCAGGCGAATCATTATTATTTGCAGTTAGGAGGGGATTGAAGAGGTTATCTTCGTATAAGACGTTGGGATCTAAATTGGCTACACCCCCTCGCTCAAGTAGTAGAACTGAATATTTTTCGGATAAAGTGGCAGCTAATGGGCAACCAGCTGTTCCTCCTCCAACAATGATGTAATCGTATTCCTGTGCAGGTGAAAAATCAGTGGCTTCATTTGTGAACTCAAGGTAAGTTTCATCTGCATACACAGAGGTGGTGAAACACAATATTTGATCAGATAGTCTGCATAAATAACTTCCGACCCATTTCTGGATACTGATCAATGCTGGAGAGAGAGAGAGAGAGAGAGAGAGAGAGAGAGAGAGAGAGAGAGAGAGAGAGAGAGAGAGAGAGAGAGAGAGATGAATGACTTGCCTAGAAGAGAATCTGGCTGTAAAAAGCATACGACTTTTAACTGTAGCCCCATGCAGAGTATGAGAAAAGAAAGTGCAGTTTGCAATAATTGAGGTTTGGTTATCATCATATTGTTATAGGTGACAGAGAAAGAGAGGAGAGGAGTATATATAATGATCGCCGGATAACACAAGTAGGCAGAGTGGCCAACAAGTCTTCAAAGGGTTGACATTATAAAGGATAAACCATTTAATATTATATTGATTGGGCTTTAATTCATTTTCCAGATCCGATTTTTTGGTTGTTTCTTTGAGCATGCAGCAAACAACTTTTATAATATAAAATGCCAGCAGTAGTAGTTTTGCACAAAGTACAAAGTACAATTGAAATGAAACCAAAAGTGACAGCACAAACGTTTAATATATAGTTAAATGTCCAGCACCGAAAGCTCCATAACCTATACATCCTATGATCAAAAAACAGCATAAATGTCTATTTTTCTTTTTGGAACTGGCAAATTTATTACAACCAAAGCCAAACCTAACCAGGAGCTAGGGACAAAAAAACAGAGAGCCAACAAATTACAAGGGGGGGGGGGGGGGGGGGGGAGGGAGGAGGAGGAGGAGGGAGCAACACCACTTGATCCAGCAATAATATCCAAAATCACCTCTAAGTTAAGGAAACAAAAGCAATAATTTCTGGTGGGGCGCAATGTAATACTTGTCTTTCGTGACCATGTATCATTTCAGAAGATATAAAATAATATGAGGTGAGTAGGTGAAATAAAGATTAGAGTTACTTTAAATTTGATATTTGCTGTTAAGCAAAATGGAGTTGAGAAAGTGATATATCTTTTAAAGAGAAACGCGTGGATATAAAGATCGTCGAAAACGGAGTTTGTATGAGAAATTATGACCGTTTGAAGTTTAAATGAAAGTACATTGTTATTTTGAGAAAGTCAACGAAAGTCAAAGTCAGAGGTCAACGTTTTGATCCTCACGACGTGAAGGTATATTGCCCACGAAGTGGCAATGCGTGCATCATGATTACAAGTATCAAACAGAGAGCAACACGTGGCGAGACGAGGTCTATTCAATCATCACGGCGTGACAAAAGATGTGTCATGACGTGAAATGAGGCAAGTCACCGGGACACTTGGCGGGAGAGTGTAATACGTGGCAAAAATAGGGTTCATTTGATTGTCACGACGTGACACATAGATGGTCACGACGTGACCAATCCCCGGTATAAATATATGAATCTTGAGTCATTTGAGAGGGTTTTTTTGGCACGCGTGATCGGAGACGTTGCTCAGGAGTCGATTACGGGAGATCACTACGGTGAAGTTATATTGTTGCTCATGTATATTATTGTGACACCCGACTCGATCTTGTACTCGAGGCCAATATGATCTTTGTGATAACTACTTGTATTCCAGAGTGCTAATGTAACATCCCGAAAATCATAGGGTAAAAATTTCATTTTTATTATAATCAAAACACTAATGTAACTTTATCCAAACAATTAAAAGCATTTCAAAATAAAACAATTATCATAGTTCATTCCCAAAATCACGTAGTGCGGAAAACGCGGGTGTATGCGCTGCGATCAAGCCGGACCCTTCCCTTTCGAACTGGAAATACTTGAAACCATAAACCACAAAGCGTAAGCACAAAGCTTAGTGAGTTCCCCAAATACCACATACCATACATATCAAACGAGCCATACATATCATACATATCCAATCAATCAATAAAAATGCTATGTGCCAACCATAGTCTTTCCATTATGCCACGAGCCGTATCATGGTCTTCCTTGCCAGGCCGGGGGCCAAAACCCTGGGTCTTACAGACAAGTGCCAGGAGCCACCTACTGGTCTTCAATGCAAGCATCACAAAGACAACTAGCATACAATCTACAACTACTTAACTAATTAACTGCCAGAGTTCAGACTCTGGTCTTGCATACAGTTTGTCAGGAGCCGCCTCCTGGTCTTTCATACAAAATGCCAAGGGCTACCCCCGAGTCTTCCTACAATACATAAACTAAATAGGTCGGCATTGGTGCCTTCGACCCATAGAACAGTGAGATGACTCACCTCGAATGCTGAAGCTCACTGAAAGAAATCCCTAGTTGTTGTCCTGACGACTCCCCGAACTATCAGAACAAAATAACTACGAATTAGCAATTGGGTTCCAATCCAAATCCAATAATCCATACTTGGTGACCATTTTACCCCTGGCCCAACTTGAACCAAAACTGAGGCCCAATTCCACAAACCAAAAAGGCCCAAAACCAAAAGATCCGCAAAGGCCCACTAATGGCCTAAATTTCTAAATTGGGCACAACCCCCATACGGGCCTTATCCTAAGCCCAATAATTTCCTTAGTCCAAAAAGTTGATCTCGGATGGCCCAATGGCCCAAGGCAACAAGTCAAATAAAGTGGCCCAAAGATGTGAAGCCCAAAAACACATCAAGCCAAAACCTAGCTGAACGTCGTACGTGGGGCGTACGCTCAGTACGTTGGGCATACTCGACGGATCCAGATCGCGACCTCAACTTGGTACACTGGGCGTACCATCAGTTACGCGGGGCATAACCTTGCCTATTCCAAAACAAATTTTATGGCTTAACCACTTAAGCACTTTGCACCCAAACTTCAGAGAACCTTAAAAAAAGCTCTTAATGCATAAAGTCGGCACCTTTATGCATTTGCATGACTCAATGGGACCCAACAACCATCTTAATCCGATAAGACCCATTCTAGTCCAACTAGAATGTGACAACCAAGAAATTTTGATCAAGCAAGGTGCCTCTATAGATGGTATAAAACCACATCACAACTTTGTTGTAGTAAACATTTGAAAAGTCAATATTTGAAATTTAAATTTCATAGAGAATGTTTTAGGTGGAATCAAGAAGTGTGAAATCTCAAAGTTGCATTAGAAGTGTTTTAAATGTGGACCGATAACTCCCCCTCCCTCGGACCGAAAACCTCGCACCTAGGGTTCTCGTTTGGAACCGAGAACCTAGTTCTCGGCCTCATGGGACCGAAATCTCGGTGGCACTAAGAACCGAAAACCCCCTAGCCTCGGAAATGGGATCTCGGTTGGGTGGAGAACTTGATACTTTGACCTAGTGATTTGATCTCCCGACTTTACACCCTTATATTCAACATACCTCCATGTTAGACATGCAAATATCCCCCAAGTATCCATGAACCATCTCTTTCCTTCTCCATTTATACCTACGGCCGAAGAGGCCTTTCTTACACCCCAACATCACTTTCTTTCAATTTATTCATCTTTTTCTCTCTAAGACAAGTCTGAAACTTCTTCAAGAACTCATCACCTTCAAGTGTTCATTTGATTTTTGGTAAGCATTTCGTGGTACCTTAGTGCTTTCATACGATTTTATTTTTATTTCCTCATCTTTACACACATTATTATGTGTTAACCTTTAGGATAATAACATTTCCAATCTAAGTGCCCAGCTCGAAAATCTTCATCTTAACCCTTCAAACTACCCACAAAAATCCACTCAATGTGAGTTTATACCTCTTGTTTTCATTAATTTCATGTTTTAAGGGGGGGGGGGGGGGGGGGAACACAAGTAAACCTTGCATAATAGTTCAAGTTGTTGTGCAAGCTTCTTCTTCATGTTTTGAACAAATTGTTGTTTACATGAAATGTGGTATATATTAATTACTCGAAAAATTTACATGTGGTATGTTGGTTTGAAACACAAAATTATGAAAAATAAGTATAAACATGACATATGTTTCTTAAGAAAGGGGTCATAACCACCAAAATAAAAAGAATAGAGTTTTCATGAACAAAATATGATTTTTCAAGAAAAAATAGTTATAACCTAAGAGTTACACTATTTTTGTGGAATATAACTAAAATATATTGTTTTGCTCATATATTTTGGGAAACTATGCAAAACACCTAGGAGTTTGTTTTACAAAAAAAATCACAAAAAAGAAAAACACAAAAAGCTATTATTTTATGTAAAAATAGAGTTTTGTACAAAAAGCGGTCCTAACAAATTTATGACCCTACTTTGTGAGTTTTGTCTAAAAATATCGTTAAAAAGAAGCCAAAAACTAAATATTTACCTTATCATACAAAATGTTCATAAACTTGTGTTGGAAGTAAATGATATGAATTGATATTTTAAGGCATCTAAACACGTTAAATTGTGGATATATATATATATATATATATATATATATATATATATATATATATATATATATATATATATATATATAAAATTATTTCATAATATACATGGAAGTAACAAGACATTCATAATAAACTATAAATGGTATAGTTTGGGAGTCACAAAACCACACTATCATTTCAGAAGAACCATATAATTATTCAAAAGTATAATTATTACGTTTTACAAGAAAAAGGAGTCATAGTTCACGTAAATCTATTGATGCTCTTGTGAGACATTTACTTCACCGTACCTACCTAGTGTACACTTTAAGTCCTGCATTATAACCAGAGTCTCCTGGAGGGAGAGCGAGATAGTTGTGTATAGATTTATACGGGATTGACAATCCCACACCTCAACTGTTCGCTACAGTTAGACCGGCAAGTCTAGGGTGACAAATGTCTACCAATTCCGACGCCTGAAGAACGTCGTTCAGGCATATCAGTCATATTAAGTATGGTTATAATAACTCACATAGGGATTAACAAAACTACTCGGTTTATGGGATACTTTCATTTATAAAACTACATACTATCTTTAAGTACAGCATTACTTACATTTCTGGTCTTAGGGTTTTAAGACTACAGTTCAATTTAAGAAAATATCGAATTTTCTGGAAGTATACAAAACCATTTTTATGCAAAGCAGTTACAAATCCTTTTCATACAAAATGCTTATGAACTCACCAACTTAATTGTTGACACTTTTAAAATCACTTGTATTCTCAGGAAACCAGTGAGCAGGCATTCAAACCATTTTTGAGAGCAGGAGTTGCTACGTCATGAACTTTTACTTTTCAGCTATTTGTTGTTAACTTTTGAACAAAGTATGCAAACGATGTAAAATTGTAATCTAAATGTGTGATGTTTTAGGTTGCTATGATTCATTTATATTCAACTGTTATGATACTATAAAATGACGTCATCCGCCCCCGGACGTTTCCGTCGTTCCGGTTCGGGGGTGTGACATAGAACATGGATGGACCATTCTTAAACATCCAACAAGCATTTTTATGAACTAACAACATCAGAAGAGGCAAGATCTATTACTCCCAAGCTCCTAGAGTGGCTCAAACTCACAAGGAGAACTTAATACACCATAAAAGCCCTTAATCTTGCCCTAAACTCAACTAGCATAAGAAGAAGTCAAGATGAGAACTTTTTACCTCCTGAAGCTTCCCAAGAGTGTGAAGATTCTAGATCTATAACCCCAAGGCTACACCAAGATCCACTTCCTTGAAATAACCCTAAGAACCCTTCAAAAGCACCTTCAATCTCAAGAATGCACTACCAAGGGGACTAGGGTTCGAAATGAGGCTCTAAGATCAGTGGAGGCTGAGAAATGAAAGAGTCTTGAGCTTATAAGAATGTTTAAATAGTGCCCAAACCCTAAAAATTAGGGTTTGGCACTCTGCTCATTATGTTGGGCGTACGCGGCCAAGCACACGCCATCCCTCCTTGCATGCATGGGACCAATTTGGCAACCTTTTCCACCAAGGGCCACTTCTGCCATTATTTTAAACTACTTTAACTTCCTCATCTTAGGTCCGTTTCCAACGAACCTTATATCCATGGAAAGGTGACGAGAAGCCCTACACTTCTAACAACACACCATAGCCTTAAAACTTCCCGAACAAAACCCAAAATTCATAAAAGACCGAATTATCAAATTACGATTATACCCTTGGCCTCCGAAGACACCATCGAACACTTGGATCACTTAAACCATAACACCCACATCCGAAAAGACCAAAAGATTTCTTCCCCAAGGCCGTAAGCCTCATGACAACTGAAGATTGGGCCGCAACCCCGAATAATGAAGCAAATCCGAAACCGACTGTTACAACTCTCCCGCACTTAAATTAGACTTCGTCCTCCAAATTCCTCCTTACCAATATTCAGATCATACCAAACAACCCGAGGAATGCAACCGACAATTATGAGCATAAAACCGATGGGTTTTGAGCATAACAAACAATCCCTATGTGTGTATGCAACCTTGATTTGTAGAATCTATGTTTTCACTATTGGACATGCAAGTATTGAGCACAAAACAAGAAACCCTAGGACGCAACTATAATTTTCGAAATTAATAATAAACTAGGGTTTAGGATACATACCTTGATTGTTATATTGTAATAACAATGAAATCCTTGAAGATCTTGGACTTGATAGCAAGTGTCACAAGTGTAACACCTCTAATGGCTAACAAACACACTTAGCAAGAGGATGAGAGGAGAGAGGAGTAAGATATTACAAAATTTCGGCTATACTTAGGGTTTTGATGGCATGGCCGAAATCAAGAGGGGTTATGGCCCTTTATATAGTTGTTGGTAGCTTACGACCAAAGCTAGGGTTTTGAGGAAGAAACCCTAATTCCTTAGCTTAAGGCCTAAGCAGCCCATGAACCCTCATCCAATAGGCATTGGACGAAAATTCTAGGGCCTCCCTAGAAGTTTTCATCCAACCCTCATTTGGGAGGTCCAAGAGCCCAATTTCACAACTATCAATAAATTGCTAAATAGCCCCTGCACTTTTAATTAATTCCGTTAATCCCAAAATTAATTCCAAATTAATTTCTGATTAAATATTATATAAATAATATGATTTCTAATTGATATATTATTTTCATAATACATTAATAAATTATTTTATATATTAATTTTATATTCCAAATAATAAATTCTTCCTCTTTCTCAATAGGTCATCCTGTCCAGTTGCTAGTATGAAGGCAACCCAAAAGGACTGTGCTACTATCAATTCACGTACATACCAATCATAGTTATGGGCTTAGACACCTAATCCAACATTCTCCCACTTGGATAAGTCTAATAACTATAATTGCAAGTATAACTTCAAAAATTGACTAGCAAATTGTAGCTCTCAAAGCCGTTGTCGAACTCTGACCTAGTCAGTGACGTGTCCTAAGATAAGTGATCATATAATCCTCTGTTCTGCAAGATATCATGTGGACAAATGACATGTAATAGAATCATTCTCATTGTCCAACAATTTGTTTCCCGATTTCTGATTTGTAATGACAAAGAACTACAATTGAACACATCAATTAAGTCCTGACTAAGCCTGGCACATAAGTCAACACCAAATCATTGAGGGGCCCAAGATATTGTTTTTCCCGTTAGGGCAAAGGGAACAGATAAACTTTGACTTATATGCTTGCCCTATTTACTCATCAAATCATGCACGATAATACGTTTTATAACATTAAGTTACTGATGTGTTTACGCATTATCAATGCACAACCAACTTATAAACAACAACTCATATATCTCTGTTTGAAGATTATATGATATTATCGTCTCAGAATTACTCGTGATAAATTCCATGAAGTAATTCACTGAGCGTGGGTTTATCCAATACTTAAATCCCCGTTTCAAAAGTACTCATGAATGTTGCAGCAAACCATTGCTATGTCTAAACCCTTAGACAATCTACAATCCAATTCATGACAACCTTAATTCACTACTTACTTCCAAAGTATGATCGACTGTGAATATTTGAATAATCTAATTATTCGGGAAGTAAAACATACAAAAGTGAAACACAATGATAAACAATTGACAAAAGATAGTAAACGATACTCATAAATAAATCTCCATTATTTAATCATCAAATGTCAATTACATTTATTTGTTACAAGTTTCTAAATATCTATCTAATCACTAAATGTGCTTAACCCTACTCAGACCCTTTGTGAGAGGATCGACATAATTCTCTTCAGATGATACCCTCTTTACGACAAGGTGTCCTTCTTCTACCCTATGTCTGATGAAGTGATATTTTCTGTCGATATGTCTAGATCTGTCATGATCACTTGGTTCCTTTGTTAAGGAAACCACTCCTTCATTATCGCAGAAAATATCCATTGGCTCCTTTATGGCTGGCACAACTCCGAGGTCTCCGATGAAGTTCTTCAACCATATAGCCTCCTTCGATGCTTCGCTTTCTGCAATGTACTCTGATTCACAGGTAGAATCAGCCACCGTATCCTGCTTGCACTACTAGAAAAACAGCCTTTAATGACACACAAGGCGTGTCATAAAAGCCACAGATGACATGCAAATGCGTGTCAAGGAACGCCCTGTCATAAAGGAAGATGACACGCATTTGCGTGTCGTAACCTTACGACGTGCATTTACGACGCGCTCTTACGACACACAATGTGTGTCAAGGAAGGCCCTGTCATAAAGTAGACGACACGCATTTGCATTTAGTAACCTTACAACACACATTTACGACTCGCATTGCATATGATTAATGCCCCTGTCAAGAAAGGTCATGTCATAACTGAATATGACACATTTTTGCGTATTGTAATTTTAAATGTTTAAAAAAAATATTATTTATAGATTTACTAATTTTAAAATTAAATTTGCTTTTAATGTTTCATAATAGAAAATAAAATATCATATACAATAAATACAATCCATTGCATAAAATTTAATGTCATACAAATAATCGTTCTATGGAAAGATAAAACAAATCAATAGAAGTTGTAACAGAAATGTACAAACTAATTAGATACAAGAAATATGAAAAACTTGAAATCCCTGAGATTAATAGTTCTAACAGAAGCTTCACATGAGATACATACAGTTAGACCAGTAAGTAAGGATGTTCCCGAATCCACAATAGCAGCATAAAAACACATCAACAGAACATCACTTCTAGATCAAGTCTCACTTGAATCTTTGGTCGTGTCTAATGCATTGGGGAAGTATTTGCTGAGAGCCCAAACAATTATATAAATCAATGAAAGTAAAACTCAGGACTTTTCTAGTTTTCATAATCCTAACAATAGCAGCATCAACCTGCAATATATTTATAAAAAAATGTGGTTCTAAATTATAATTACAAAAAACTTAAAGCAGTTTCTAAAAAAAATAATTGGACATGATATTGATATCTTGGAATACTCTCTCTGTGGTGCTTGCGTTTTCTTCCACAGTTTCCTTCAATTGGATAGCATTCACCTGTACATGGAATGGAATGGAATAATGAAATAAGCAAGGGAATGGAATGAGTCATTCCATTCCAATTTCATATGAACTTCACATTATATATTTGTATAAAAAATTAATTGATCTCACCTTTATACGATAAAGAGGAGCAGTATATACATCATTAAACTTGAAGGAATCATTGTCATCCACTTCCCTCCCTTTTGGAATATGAGAAAAACATCAACATTATCAGTTGGTAGGATGTGCAAGTTGGTAGGATGTGCAAAAGACATAAATGCCATCGAGTTAAAAGTTAAAACAACTACCTTTTGAAGGACACAGACTTTTCCACAAGCAAGGGACTAGAGAGTCCTCCTCAGTTCTTTGTCCTCAATGCTTGTACCATCCTTAATATCTTGAAAACTAAGCTTTTGTGCATCATTGAACAACATCAAAACAACTGTCTGTAATTATATAAATCCACCATTTATATAATCAGAGAATAAAAAACAAAAAATAAAAAAAGAAGAAAAAACTCAAACCTGAAATAAGGAAACTGCAAGCTCTTTTTTGCCCTTTAGAAATTCTACTTTCAAGACACAGTGACCTAATGAATTCTGCCACATGATCTTTTTCAATGTAAAACGTAATTTAGTGTTGAGTTGAATAAACGTTTTGCTATATTGATTCAATCACCTAATTTGTAAACCCAGCAAACCCTAATCAGATGATGACCATTCCAAATGATTTTCAATCAGTTTATGAGAATCACATGCCTTCAAAACTTTTCTGAAATCTTTCAGCTTTACAAAATAAAAACCATGCCTCCATCTTTACTCAAGAATCATTGTACGAAAACAATATGAGAGAAAAAGAGTGAAGTATGGTAATAGATTAGTAGGCTTTGAACTTTTTGGATGATGGGTGACACCAATTCCAACCCCCCATGATTATTTAGAATGACAAGTCAGAAAAGCATGTCAAATCCAATGATACTTTTGTAGATGAATACCTCCTTTAATAAGCAGTCCAAGCCTTTGACAGCTGGAACTTCTTTTACTAAAGTAACCTGACACCACAAATACTTTGGTTTAATGAACAGGAACATGTATGGATAAAAATCGCAATTGCAGTAACTTTTGGTGAATGAATATGAAAATTTCTTGAAACAGTCTTACACCACAAAATACTATTGCATCCTTTTCTTGTCAGCATCTTTTTGTAGTCTTCCCATCGACAGATTCATGTGTGGCCTAGATGCATGCAATTAACCGTGAACACACTATTGTTATATAAAACATAAGGAAACCCATACTTCCATCTTGAATACCCCAGGTGGAGAGAAATAATAACCATGCACCAGCTTTGAATCCGTTTTTTCCACATAATACTGTTAAAAACAAAAATAGAGAGCCATGCATATGTCTTTTCACTTGGCTGACAACTATTTTCAGCATGAGAGGACTTGTAGCTTCTCACGAACCATGATGCATGTCCTCTTGTTCTTTTTTGCTTTAAACGAGATGGGCGAAACTACCCCTATCTTTTAATAGAAAGAAATAAGAACTATAATACCCATCTTGTTTGACTTTAGCCACTTGACATTTGCAAAACCTGATTCTCGATAAGGACTACTGAAACATACCATATATGAACTAATAAAGAATAATAACCCACAAAAAACAAATAAAGTTACGTTGCAGTTTTAGAGAGGAAAGATCATACCTCTACTTTCATTCAACGACTATAATCTCATGACCAGACTCATTTTAGGAGACCAAAGCTTTACACTTTTGGCATCTTTGATCAAAAGAGATGTCACATCATCTTCTGACAAAGCTTTTAAAAAAAGCATTACTTGCAAAAAATCTTTTAACATGGGAAACTAAACAATAGACGACACCTTTTTTGCTCTAAATGATTTTCAATCAGTTTATGACCATTACAAATGATTTGTTATTAAAAAAGAAAAAGATTTAAAGTTGGAGGTAAAAGTCAGACTGACTATATGAATGGCAATCAAGTCATTTTACTTGGGACTGGGACAGGGACTAAAATTGTTATGAAAATCAAAAGTACAAACTGATTCCTTTAAGAACTTATTGGATGGAATAATCTTTTCGATTGATCTGTCAATTTCATATGTAATTCGATCATATTAAGAAAGGACCAAACATTGATCTCATCTGAAGTAGCAGCAGCAGGGCACGAGTACACGAGTAGCTTCTACTTTCTAAACTCAGGCATGCAATCTGAAATGCCAAAAACAAGCTTTAGTTGGTTTACTATTTTTTATATCATAAAGTAACTAGTTAGATACAGAGAAAAAGGATTATGTGTTTTTTTAATAAGAGTTTTATGTGGTTGTCACATGACAGTTAAACAAACATTCAAGTTTATATTTTCCAAGCCTTGTTTCCACATGCTTGAGTTTTACAGCTGTCGACCACTAGTTGTGAACATATTCCTCTCACGCCCTTGTAAATAATAAACCTGGACTGCAGTATCGTATAACAAACGCACCCATAATGTCTAAATGTGAACTAAATTCCTACCCTTCTTTGTAAGATTTGTGTCACACACTCGGACCCAAACGTGAACTAAATTCCTAGCCTTCTTTGTAAGAAGCAATCTCCTTTTTTTTTACCAAACCCTTTGCCTTTCAATTTCACAATCACACTTCTTTGTGATTTCTTATCAACCTCGGTGATTCATTATGAGTAAATATGTGTGAGTTTATTACTTACTTCGAAAAGAATCTTCATAAACAATCTGTCTTCTTGAGACTTTGAAGATGACTTTAACTCTTTAAGCAATAAGCTCCAATCAGACTTCCAAAAAAACCCAAATTTAATAAGATATTGTATCATAAACATTAAATAAGTTTTAACAAAAGTAGACAAATTAAATGAAAGAAACAAGATTAAAAAGACAAGATTAGTGGTCGATTAAGGATTTACCTTGTTTAACATAGAGAAGATCGAGTCTTGTTAAGCGGGAAGTGAAAGGGATGATTACATGGATTTCGGGTTGGCTCATTTAATTCAATGCCATGGAAGTTAAAAACTGCGGGAAATTTCAGTTCGGCATAGATTTTAGGTTGATCACTGAAAGCGCCTCCACCGAATTCTTGTAACTTTACTGCGTAGTTGAAGAAATCGGAAAGGTCTGTGAGATCGCATTCGCTGATTTTCACTGATACTAACGATTCGCTGCAGTTTTTTGCGATGAGTTCTAGATCTTTGAAATTGAACTTGACCGAATCTATCATGTAGAAGTTTGACGATTCCATGGCTGTGTTACGCAAAGCTAGCTCATGTAACCATTCTTCGTCCTTTTCAACGATTAAGCTCTCTTGTAGATACATAATTCTCAAATTGTTACACCGGTGACCGATTTGGAGCAGTGGCCAGAGAGCACCGAGAGATTTTCTTTGTTGAAAAAATCCCTAGCTAGCTAGAATGGTCCTTACGATTTTGTGGAATTTATTGCTGATATTTTAATGAAAGCGCGTGTTTGAAATAAATATAAAGTAGCATCTCTACAAGACACCCGTTTTAAGACAGATGCCCTCTGTGTTTTTAATATTCTTTTATTGGACACTAATTTTAGGGCACGCACAAATGTGTGTCCTCTATCCTTAAAATTTTGGAAAGTTGACACCATTTTTAGGACACACAAGAAATGTGTATCGTAAATCAGTGTGCGTCATTGTTTGCGTGTCTTTTCATATTAAAAAGTTGTTCTAGTAGTGTTGGAACTTTTCCAAGTTACAGCTCCACCATTAAGGGTAAACTGTAACACCCGTCAAAATTAGGTCAATAACAATCACATATGATATACCAATCATGTAACGTGATTTTGTTAAACTAGTAAGTGATAAACTTACTATGTACTCATGATAAATTATAATACAAATATACTTTCTTTATGATACAACTCAAAGTATACGTCCATACGATTCCAAAAATATAGAGAACGTCTGAATCTGACGTCGCATGAAGAAGTTATGATAAACCGAACACTATAAATCTCTATAATAAGAGGAATTAAAAATAGACTCATAATTAGCTATTAGATTCTAAAAGAGATTTGTAGTACTCGTAAATACCTACGCGAGGATATAAGGAACGTCAAAAACGGAGTTCGTATGTGAAAGTTACGACCTTCCGAAGATTCAGCAGTCAGAAACCCTAAATTTGACTGGACTCACGACTTGAGCCTCTTTTCTCACGATGTGAGGAGTCAAAACGCCACATTTCGAAGCTAGAATGCAGATGACAAGTCTACGGAATAGGCTCACGATGTGAGCATCAATTCTCACGACGTGAGGAGTCAAACAGACACTATTCAAGCCTAGAACGCAAATGGCAAATCTACGGGGTGACCAGCCATGGCTCACGACTTGAGACTATATGGCTCATGGCGTGAGAGGCCAAAAATATTCCTATAAATATCAGGTCCGACCTTGACACTTCCTTACACCATTTCCCTTTCTCCACTCTCCTTTGCTGAAGCCCTCTTGCATCCCGAGCCCCGACGACCTCGTACCGTTGACCGTTTTCTGCTTAGATTACATAAAATCACGCTACTAGGGTGAGTTTCACGGCCCCACTTTCTAATATTTTTGGGGGAAACACATGCTAAATATTGTATATACGTTACTATTATGTCTATATTATAGTATATTAGTATCAACGTAGATAGTTATAATAATCGGGATATAGTTGTTCTAAATATAATATTTTGAATATATACAACTATTATCAACTTGTTAGCATGTTCTTGTACTAATGTAGATCTTGAGTTATACTTAGGATTCTATATATATTTTGTGTGCGATATAGTTCCAGAGTTACACTCGGAAGTTCTATATGTTAATTGATATGTATGTTGTTATTGTTGGTTTTATGTCAAGATAAAACTAGGTATGTTATATGTTGTTATTTGTTGGTTTTATGTCAAGATAAAACGAGGTATGTTAGATGGTTTTATGTTAAGACAAAACCTGGTTTTAATTATAATTATACCTGTTGTACTACCTGTTGGAAACTGAAAGTGAACCTCTAGCAATCCTAAGTACTAATTCTGAAGTGTGTATGTTTCGAAGTGGAGAAGTGGTCCGGAATCTGTCCGGACCAGGTATGAAGAAGTGAATACTGAATGCATTCCAGAATGACTCTCATTTCCGGAATGGATGCTGATCCGGAGTGACACTGTTTTGTCTTTTGTGCATTTATTATATTTGTCTTTGTATTGATGTAATGTTTCATAGGACGTAGTCTGAAGTTGTATTTGGACAATCAGAATGTCAGAATCATTTCTTTTGTCCAGTCCTATGTAAGCACTTTAGTTAATTCGCTGTAACCATCACTCCTATTTATAGGAGCATTCAATACAAGTCAACTACAGATCTTTCACTCACTTTTGGCATTTTTCTCTAAGTTTATTCAAAACATTCTTCTTGTTCTTCATTTATTAACCTTACCTTGATCAGTTATTCTTGTTGTTCATTTATTGACTTGATCATTTGTTGAATATATTATTTAAGACCTGTTTGGTCTTTCCAGGCTTGACTTGAACACTTATTAGCAACCAGACATTGATCTTAAGCATTCACTCAAGATTTGAGTTTTCAAACCTTGTTCCTTTGCATCGATCTTGTTCTCACAATTGGTATCAGAGCTTGAGTGGTTGTCCTTTGAATCCATAAGATCAGATTATAGTTGGTTTGAAATTACCTTGGTATCTCAACCATTTCTGTGATAAGGATAAAAGTTCTTCTATATACCACTTTAGCTTGAAGATAAATTACCTTGGTATCTCAACCCTACACGTGCCCCATTACTAGTTGTGGAAGAATATGATCATTGGAAAGTTAGAATGGAAAGCGTTTTACTGGACAAAGATAAAGGTGAACAAATCTGGAGATCCGTCAAAGAAGGTCCTCATGTTCCTGTAAGAACAGTTGTAAGAGATGTTGCTGCTCAGCTCATGCGAGAAGATGAAGCTCGCCCAGCTCCTCTAACTGCAGATGATATCGAGAAGCTGCATGTTGATCAAGTTGCTTTCTCAGAAATGGTGTTTGGTGTTCCTCCTTCACTCTTTGAGCACATTAAGCTATGCAAATCAGCCAAAGAGATTTGGGACACTCTTCATGACCTGATTGAAGGTTCGGAAAATATGAAAGACAAGCGTCTCACCTCAGTTGTCAACGACTTCGACACCTTCACTACCACTCCTGGTGAATCAATGGCCTCTGCTTCTAATCGTTACCGAATAGTGGTCAACAATATGACTGCTCATGGGATTGTCCGAACTCCTTTGGAGTACAATGTCAAATTCATAAACAGTCTTGGAAAAGGATGGGGAAATGTAAAATCTTGTCTTCAAAGCAATGGTTCCTTGAAAAAGTTGAAACTCTATCAACTTTTTGATGAACTTCAAGAACATGAGTCCAATGTTGCTCAAACCATAAGGGAACTCTCCGGAGGTCCTATTGCCCTTGTCAGTTCTTTCGAATCAACCATTCCGAACTCATCTACTTCGGATCCTTTCAAACCCATTGTTCCATTGGTTCAATCATCCGCACCCATTTTACCCACACAAATCTATCCTGCTGATGATTCTGAAGCCATGGACTCTGAACTCCGTTTCCAACAGGAGTTCGCCCTACTCTCAATGAAGTACAAACGTCCTTTCAATCCTTCTTACAAACCATACCAAAAACAATTCCATACTCCTCATCAGAACAATCCTCAAACATATTCAGCTCCGGAACCTAAACCAACTTCCGAAAACCCTCCCACATACAAACCTAACATCATTAAACCAAACTCTGCTCCGGAACCCTCTCAGAGTTCCAAATCGGACAAACCAAAAATATGTGTCATAAGTGTGAACATGCAAACCATTTTGCCAAAGATTGCCTGGCTGATGCTCCACAAAAACCAAAAGTCAAGTATTCTGCCTACTATGTCCGAAGAGCACAAGAGATGGCTGAAAGTGAAAAAGCCTTTGTTACAACGGTTTCAAGAGATGTTGAAGGATATTGGTCATCCGGGGATGATGATGACATGGTAACTGGCAAGACAAACGGTTGAATGTGATGAAGGGTATTGGTCTTCTGGGTCAGAAGATGAAGATGATGTTGCTGAACCTCACTACTGCTACATGGCCACCAATGATCCACCCGGTCGAAGCATCGTTCAGCAGGTAAAATCTATGATCTCTGACAATAATTTTGATTTGTCTCTTTGTGAACCTTATCTGACCTAAATCCAAACAGATATGAACACCATCTATAAAGCCTATGAGTCCGCCATAGAAGCCAGTGAGAAGAAGGATTGTGAACTAAGTCGTCTTAGGTTACGTTTTGAGGATAAAAAATTGAAAATCGAGTCTTTAGAGTATGAGCTTGTAATGTCAAACGATGAATGTATCATTTGGAAATATAAATGTGAAATCAGCTATTCTGAACGAAATGTTTTAATTGCTGATAACAAACGTCTCAATGCAAAGATAGATGCTTTGCATAACTCTGTAGACATGCTTGAAGCAGACATTCAAATGACTCATAATGTTCGTCATCCATGGTATAAAGCACCTAGTCTCGGAAGCGAGTTTCCGAAACCAATTATTAGTCCCTTGAAGGAATTGCAAAATTTGACATTTATGGGAGAGGTTCCGAACATCAAACATTTGGACACCCCTGTCTCTCCCTTGTCTCCACTTCCTGAGACTGCAGACCATTTTGAGTCCCTAATTCCTGAGTTCAAACCAATAGTTGTCAAGTGTCCCGATTCCACGCCTCTTCCGCCTCTGATAAACCTGGACCTGAATCGGACCACGAAATTTCATTATAGTCTTCCAAATTGCGTAGATTATGTTCCTACAAGTAATCAGACAAACAACTGTGTAGTTGAAGAAATTGCTTCCCTGACAACTGAAACTGATACCTCTGAGTTTGTATGGGCATCCTTAGATGATAAAGTTGAAGTCTCAAGCTGTGTGTCCTCTGATTCTTGCGAATCGGATTCCTTAGTCATCTCAAAAGATAAATTGGTTCCCATTATTCCTGAGTTTAGGAATCCATCCGAAGGACAAACCTCAAAATCCTCGTCTCATCCTAAGAGAAAACCAATGTTGAATAGGAAGGAAATTGTAGATCCCAAAGTAGAAGCTCGAAATGCACATAAAAAGGAAGTTAAGACCAGACAAAATTCCAGGTTCCTTGCAAACTCCAAACCAAGTTCATCCCAAAATTCTCATGCATCAACTCATAGTCAAAACTCCTTTGTTCCCACTAAGATCCTTAGAAGACCTTCCGAACCTCTTGGTCGTGTAGAACCTAAGAAAGTCATCAGC